CCATGGTCCTTCTATGCGCAGACGTCCTGTGGCTGTCCCGTTGGCGGCCACTGTGACAGGCAAATCCGAAACCGGATACCGCCATCCATATATTCCGGGTTATCAGATTGAACTCGCTTTAAAAAAGCGTCAAATGTTCGAAGCCAGCAGATCTACTTTGTAGGTGCATCTGGAGCATTCAAATCACTGTCGAATTTGTCCAGACGACAGTGGCAGTCCATGTTGTTGGACCAGTAACCTGGTGCGTTAGACGACTATAGCCCAACAGACGGAATAACACGGAGTACGAGTTATACACTTTACTGGCTTATCAACGAAACTGCATCATCCGAAGGTATTAGAGGGGATTACGATGCAATGTGTAAAAGAGGGCAAGTTAATACCATATGACAACTGGGATAGTCTCTTTACTCCAGACTTGTTCGAACAGGAAGGTCAGGGCTTTGCAGATGGTTTCACCGTTATCCTTAGAAAAGGTGGATTCGATGGAATCCAAGCCAGAAGCTCGAGAAAATTTAGCTTGTGATCACATTTCTGACCACAACTTCTGAGGTAACCGTCCATGGCCCAGCCTGCATCACCTTCGTAGGAAGAAGTCCGGAAGCAAGGGCCAGCTGAACTTATCTCGAAGGTGCTCCGCCCACAGAGCCATACGACACTATTTATTGTGAATCAGGACACCCATGTCGTACTTGATCGTCTCACTGACCGCTGGTTTTCTGGGACCAATGGTGCAAACCGGTTGGGGGAGCTTGCGATATTTGCTTATCGCTTCCGCCTCCTCCACTACTTGAGCCCTACTGATCAACCAGGTTAGTTCTCCTAGTCCTTCTGATCACACTGTGCTAAGAACTATCTGGGAATTTTCTTATATATCCCAACTGGTTCACCGATTCTCGCATATCCAGTGACTGATGCGGTGACGATTGATAGTGCTACAAGCAGATGCTCCTGCGTCGTGCATGGCTTCCTATATCCTATTTCATTGAAGCCAAATGTCATTGAGACGAGAAACGCTAGTTCGGTACGCAAAGCTTGTCTGACCGGTGACTGAGATTACTACACTGTCTCCAATCAAGGGTGGCTCTTGGTATGCCTCCCGGCAATATTCAGGGAAAAATCACAGCGTACCATGGCATGATCAGAGTCGATGCAACTATTCCAGGACGCGCGACAATCTAGGATGTAACCACACCACCTGTAACTTAAAACAATGTGATCTCTTTGGGTCCCTCGCTGGCCAGCTATAAGGGGACGCCAGGTGTCATATAGGCACACACTGTCTAAAAATGGTGCTACTAAGAAACAGCCGGTGCTCCGCACACAGCTGCAACAGACGCTCACCGTCGTCCGTACCATTGGAGCTTTTGCAGAGCTCAGACGGCCTACTCGCGCATTCATATCCCCTGTAGCAACAATATCTGAACTGGTAACACTGCAAAACCGTGTTCAGTTCGTGGCAAATGGTGTCCTTGGCAGCATCAGAACTACGATCGGTGGAGGCATATGTGGAAACCACAAACGAACAGCGTCTAATGCTACTTCGTGTACCAACCTTAGTTGATGTCGTCAGGCGGTCTGCATATAAACGGCTACTCACGGGAATCCAGTCAACCAATGATGACATGGCTTTAAACCTAGGAATGATTCCCACACCAGCTTGACCAGCGGTTGCCGCATCAGCGTTTCCATATTTGTGCAACCAATAGCGATAAGATTAGTCGAGCGCGATTAATTTAACAACCCTGTCAGGTTCATTGATCCTAGTTTCGGACACGCAACACTTCAATATCCAGGGTGTATAGCGTGTGTACAAGTGCAGTCTGCTGACTATTTCTACGGACGCTGAACGCCGCAATAGATACGGGACAGCGTGGCCTCTAAGAGGCCGATGCCGATAGGCGTCCAATGGGTAGTGCGGGAAGATTGCTGCAGATAGTATAACTCCAGTATCATTGCGGCTGCTATCTGTTAAGCTGGGAATTATAGAAGGAAGGTTAGTAATAGAGATCGTGTGTGGAGTAACAGGAACAGGCGGAAAACAAAGAAGAGGTGCGCCAGCAGCAGTATGTTTTCGCTTATCCACCCGGCTGTATACAGCGAATAAGGCGACCCTTGGTAAGCTGTGCGACGGCCGATGCAGGATGTGGATGACGCCCAGATATAGACAGGAGGACGATTAAGGTCCTCAACCAAAGCCTTAGCTCAAAATCCTATCCACAAGATAGCGGATGTAGCAACGATTCTGGTTTAGGGAAATCGGTGTTAACCCATCCTACCCCCACGTGGAGGAATAGGAGTCTGAGTTTATCCGACCTCTAACCTTTGACCAACTTGGTAGGAATAGCTGCCAGCTGACCCCAAGAGCACCACCTAGTATAGCTCAATGCGTCGAAGAGGTATGTGGGCCATTGCACCACGCTAAGGTCCATCCTTATTGCGATGACCAAGGTTCAGTGGTACGTATCAGTTTGAATTTAGCATCTTAGCGACGCTCATAGTGCTAAGCACTGATCGCATTCGCACTACCCCCTACCATCCTGCTTCGAATGGTATGGTCTAGCTTTTCCACAGGTAGCTTTAGACGTGTTTCCTTGTCTTAGACATACTCAACTGGACAGAAAACTTATCGATGGTACTGCTAGGAATCCGCACAGCGATCAACAGATAATAGAACTTTTGGCGCTGAGTTGGTCCATTGCCGAACCTCACAACTTCCTGGAAATTCCTTCTCCTGCGCTCCAAGATCTTGTTTCTACAACGCGACCTATGCCCAACATTCGACTGCCAAGCTACGCTTATCTCAATCATTTGAACCTGCAACCCAAACACATGACTTTTGTTCTTCACTCTCTACATGGTTACTCGCACGTTTTCACTCGAATTGACGTCTTCCGCAGGCCGTTAGAACGTCCATACAAAGAGTTATTTACGATAACTCATCGCAGTCCGATCATTCATTCACCCACACCACGGCAAACGCGAAGCTGTTGGCATCGACTGAGTCAAGGTCGCTCATTTCTAATCTGATGACAATCTCGAAGCTGACGATAGGTCACAAGTTTCGCCACTTCCAGCCGAACTGGGCGGCTGCAGCTCCACAGACCTCGACACTCCGCAGTTCCGAAATTGACCTCGTCCGCAGCTAACCGCCTCTGCCTATTTTCCGCACTTTCATTTTCTTTCGGCTAGACCGAAACGCACAAATAAATAAAGGTATTAAAAACAAAAAAAATTAGAGCAAAATTTTTTAAACCCATAGTTTCCATTTTATTCCCTTCTTTTTTTGGTAAGTGCTGTCGCCGTTCGTTTGCTCTAGTTACTCGCACGTTCTTGACGTCCCACATTTTAATTCCTTGTTATACTACCGACAATCCAACGTTCAAATTTCATCGGACATTACGTGGTCAAACACTGCTTGATCGAACACAATGTTTTGCGCTTACAGGGAAGACACGGTGGGACCCCACTGGAGTTTGATCGTATTGGCGCTTCCCCACAATTGCATCAGGCTTCTCCACCTGGTGTCGCAGAAAGCTAGCCGGTGATGGATAGTTCTTATGTAGCTAGAAAGGTCACCCACAGTCCCCTTCTTAAAAAAGACTGTAACGACCCGGAGATTTCCCCGTGCCATTGTCGTATGATGTGTAAAATACTGTAAAATCATAGTTTTCTTTTATACCCAAGATTATTAGGTGGTTTCGCATCTTATATGCTGTTGTTTATATTCTCCTGCGTCCGACCGCTACCTCCAACGCTCCGGGAACATTCTTTACTCTACCTAGCTAGCTACTAGATGAAATGAAAATGTATCAGCTTATACGCCGTAACGGCGCTTCGCTGCCGCGCGACCACCACCAGTCGCGCGCGGGCTGAATATACCGCGAGGACGCCCACCCCTACGCGGATTCGAACCGGTGACCTTATGGTTGCAAAGCAAACGTGCAGGCCACCGGCCCGTCGGCCTAGAGAGATTGTACGTTTTGGCTTTAAACGTATACGTCGCATATTTTTATTTGGTTATGCGAATATAGCGTCCGATTATTGATTGAGTTATGCCTTTCTTCTTATGGTCCGAGGCAGACGATATAACTGCTAAGTTTCGGTCGGTATTGTAAGGCCTTTCATCTTTCCTATCCTTCACTTTGCTATCTTTATCTTGATTTCGCTTCTGCACTGTCGCTTCTCATACGTTTTACATGTTTTGGAGTGTACTGAACCACTGTGTTGTTGCTTCTTCTGTCAGTCCTTCTGTCTGTTTGTATATTGTATGTTTGCGGTAATCGAAAGCCATCGTTAACTGTCCAGTCACCATGGGTTCCACTCCTTTCCTCCTCCTCCTCACTCCTAGGAACACTATCGTAGGACTTGTCTGATTGCCAGAACCAATTTTTATTTGTTAAACTTTTCGTGCCGTTTTGTCTTCCACCATCTCTGATCGTCTTGGTATCCTGTCCTGAAAGTATGCTTATTTCTTCAATCACCCTCTATCCGAAGTACCAGTTGTCCATCTATATCTAGTTACTTTAAGCCACTTTTCATCGAATTTGCGATTTTAGGACTACACCTGACGCCATCGGTTATTCGCTCCAACCGCTCATAAGATACACCCGCTTCTATGGATGACACTTGTTCAAGTCCTATATCTACGGAGCCTAAGGCAACTGCTTCAGGCTCTTCTGGTGATAAGGTGACTCTGCTTTTGAAGGCCACCGGAAACGCTCCATTAATGAAAAAGAAAGTTTGGGCTGTGAGCCGAAAGCAGACAATCGGCTGGGTTGTCAAATTTTTCCGAGACTACATTTCATGCACTCCCAGTGAATCTTTTTTCGTCTATGTTAACCAGTCATTTGCTCCTTCAATGGATACAGAGATCGGACCCTTATATGACTGTTATAATGCTGAGGGAAAATTGGTACTGCACTATTGTAAAACTCAGGCTTGGGGATAATCTCGATTTATTTTCTTCTCTGACCTTGTAACTACAACTTTTCAGCTGGATGCCCTCGAATCCAATATCGGACATCGGTTTGTTCTCTTTCGATTCCACAGCACAATACTCATACGTCTAGTTTGTGATTCTGTGTCTGACTTCATTGAGTCAACCATTCACACATACCTGTTCCAACGGGGTGTTTACCCACGCTGTGCTTTCACCGAATTCGTGCTTTTTGGGGTTCACATACAGGTAACGTCAAACTTGTCTTCACTTTGTGTTTTCGTGCAACTTATGTGTACATACTTGTTGTGTTTTCTCTGGTAGTACAGCTAACCGACGCAACCACTCTGTTCACGATACAGCCACTTTCCAGATCAGAAGACAAAGGTCTCTGGCGGAACTTGTATAGAGCATAATATGGGGTGAAAATAAATACTTCGTGAGAAAGACCTAATTGAAAGTTCCTGACGATAGCAACTACTAGATGCGCATAAACTCGCATTTTGGCTGATCAAGTAGTGTGGTCACTGGAGGACTTCAAGTTAGGTCATTCTGATTGGTCCATCTCAAGGTAAAACGATACCATTGGCTTACTCTCGTTGGCTAACCAATCGGCCACAGGCGGCATACAAAAAATAATATAATAATAACAGGCGGCACACAACCACTCTTCTCCGAGCTGCTCCAGACACACAAACCCACACAGAGAGAGCTAGCTTCGATAGCCGCTATGAACAGGCCCCGGTGACCTCTCATTGTTCACCTTTATCAAACTACAACCACTCGCCCCCCCCCCCAACTTTTAACGAGTGAGCGGCGGTAAATGGGATTCTCGTTATCTAAAGCGGTTGGTAACAGCCAGTTACTTTCTCATGCTTTTCTGCACGACCCTATTTACGGAGGACGTCGTACCACACACTTACCAACTCTACTCCCCAGATCCCTATTCGTCTTGAGATAGCCGGAGAGAACGAAATAGTTCTGGTCAGTATTATTTAACTGTACATACAATGAATAATAATAGTTGTAAGTATGGCTAATAGATTGCGCGAAGAACTGAGTTCATAGCCTGATGGGATTCCTTTTGCAGTTATACTCATACATCCTGGGACGTATATCTTTACCAGAACATGATGCTTCGGGGGGTTACAATCGAATTCAAGGTTGCTAGCTAGTATCTTTAAATGAACGATGAGGGTCCTATACATATGTTGCGCGAGTTCATTGTACCCATGTGCGTGGAGTCGTAGTGGATTGCTGGATGCAATTCATATGTGTATAGTGTGTGGAAGTTTGGTCTGGTGTTAGCAGGAGTGAGTCACCCTGCGGCCAGTGCTTGGGCGTCACCAGTCTAGGTTCAGTTTAGTGATGGGTTTCATTTTGTTCTCATCACTTCTCTTCACCTTTCTTTCACTTGAATATTTTTGCTGCAAGCTCTTGCAATTCTGCATCCAAACCCAAGCGTTTGTGCCATTCTATTACATAATCAGAGCACTGATATTTTGCGCTGGACGAAAAGCTGTGCAACGCTTTTCTGCGTGCTTGTGACTACTTGATTAGAAGTGTTTTTGGAACGCTACAACTCTCTGAAAGGCTCGTACTACCATAAGATTGTTGACATTCCAGAGAGAGAAGTGAAACCGCTTTTCAATGCACGGCGATGGCGTGCGTATCAATCTATTCGATCAGACCGGACTACAAAACTATTCGTCGGCCGCTGGCCGAGTGGTCTGCACACCTGGCTTGCGATCATAAGGTCACTGGTTTGAGGGTGGGCGTCCTCGCGCTTTAGACAGCCCAAGAGCGACTAGTGGTGGTCGGGCGGCAGCGAAACGCCGTCACGTTGTACAGCTGACTGTTTATTTACAAAACTATGTATTCCCTAACAAGGGTCTATGGTACACCAGCAGTTCCTTGCTTGTTACATTTTTGACTAATAAACATTCTGTCCTTTATGAACTGGTTAGTATATTACTTCAGCGATATTAGCTATCAACTTTTTTCAACAACTGCAATTTTATTTCTCTTCTCATGTACTATCATATTCCCTTATTTAACCCTGTCCGTGGCGTGTGTTAGAGCTGAAATTTATCCCTCATGAGTGCGTAAAGCACATTTTTTCATTTGAATCTGTGATGCAAGACCGTTTGCAAACGTGGGGAAATTGGCTTTTTGTCGGAAGGTATTCCCCTACATCGGTCAATCTTGGAACTGCTGCACAGAAACAAGATCAAGCCTTCCCGAACCAACTTCTAGAACTAGTAAATACTAGTCCGCGACGGTGCGCGAAATTAAGCGCGGATATCAGAAGGCAATTGGAGTTGGCCACAGCGGACTGTATTCGATGGGTTGCAACAAGACGCGGACGGATGATGCGAGACAGGAGCCACATGTTAACGCGGGAACTTACAAGACGGGCAAGTGACGAGCCGGTTGTAAGGAAGATTAAAACAAGAAAGCATAAAGTACAATTGGCCAACAATGAAATTGTACCTAAAAGATAACAGTTATCTTTTCGGGACTTACAGAAATCCCCCTAGAAGGCTGGACAAAAGAAGCCTTCTATATCGAAAATGACAGGTGAATCGACGTTCATAGGGCAAACTCGTGCCGAGTAAGAATGAGCGAGCAGTCGAGCCAGGTGGGGTACACCGGAAGTCGGAGTCCGCTGTATCGTTTGTCATTTATTAGTTATTGATTGCAGGGTGGAGTGCATTTCGGCGAGCCGTTGAAGCGGGCTTGTCGGATTTCAAAAAAACTGACTGGTCCAGATAAAGGCCGATCGGACCTCAACCTCCGCTGCTGCCAAATGGGGCGCTTGGGAGTATTCTCTCCCCCTGCCACACCCCGCGCCCAAATACGACCCTCGTCTCACGAAGAAACTACCCTAGTCCTGCGGTGAAACGACCTGCGTCCGCGTTTGGATCTTCGTTGATTGTGACGATCCTCGAAAACGTCGCTCTTGAGGGCCGGTCCATCGAAGGGGAGGATTGGGTCATGTAAAGATGAGAAAGCAGATAAAAACACACAGAACACGCCAAAAAGAACGAAGAAATGATCAGCGTTCAAAAATGTTCGAGTATTTTGAGCTTTTGGATATTTGTTAGATGATTTTTCTCAGACGTCTTTGATCTTTTTGTGTTTTCAAAACGTTACTCGACCAAAAGCGGGGCAAATGGTTACACTATTTGCAAACTTAAAAGTCTTTACATTTTACATGATCGGAAAAGCGAATGGGCCTACGAATCTCCCGACCACAGCGACAGGCGGCAGGCTCACAGTAGACCATGACGTCGGACCGACCCTAGCTTGTGAACCTAAATCGGTCCCGCTGCAGGAATGCTACTTGTTTCTAACTTGGCGCGACTATTCGTAGCGTCACACGAAGTGTTCGAAGTAGCCATAGGCTCAACTGCCTCACCCATGAAAGTTGGTTTAAGTCGATCGATGGTGACAACTTCGCTTCGACCATCGCGGTCACTCTTGTACTTTTTATTCATACGGTGTAGCACTTTGAAGGGTCCTGTGTACGGCGTCTGAAGAGGCTGTCGAACACCGTCTGCGCGAAGAAAGATGTGTGAACACGTAGACAGCTTCCTGGGCTCGTACACTGGTGTTTTATGCGATCGTGAAACGGGCGGACGTAGCTCACGCATCTGGTGAGTCAATCAATCAGTGTAACTTCCGTAGTCAAGGGAGGAAGTAGACGGGACTGGCGCCACCAGTAGTCCAGGCAAACGCAGCGTGCAGCCGTAAACTAGCTGCGCTGGCGTTGCGTCGAAGTCAGCTTCAACAGTGTTTCTTAAGCCTAGCACGAGAGGGAGTGTTTCAGAGCATGAAGGATTTGCGCGCACGCGTAGCTGCCTTCAACTGACAGTGAAAACGATCCACCATGCCGTTAGCGGCTGGTTGCTACGCCATCGTCTGAACGTGGCGACAGCCTAAATTCTTAAGCAAAGTGGCAAAAGTCGACGAGAAATGTGACCCCCGACGGTGGTTGCTATAGCGCGACAGCCGTTTTGAGCTACCCAGCGCTCCAGCAAAGCTTTCGCTACCGTTTCCGAAGAGCAACTAGGTATGGAAATAGCTTCCGTCTACCTAGTGAACCGATGGACACAGGTCAGTAGATACACAGAGCTTTTGGAAAGTGACAGAGGGTCTTCGAGTTCGACATGATGAAAATGTGCATCTGGCGTGGGAAATGTTCCTACTGGGCTTTTCATGTGCCTATGCACTTTCGCGCGTTGACACGAAGGCAAGCAGCTGCTCAAATACGAACGTCACGATTGACATTGCGCCAGACGAACCGTGTGGTTACGAGTTCAACGGATGCACGCATGCCTTGGATGAGACAAGTCGTACAACGTGTCGAACACGGTCTGCCGAAACTCGCATGGGACGACTGGGCGCGACGTGCCCATAGATAACTCCCAAAGTATAGTTCCGTCTGATAATGTTAGCGGAACGGGTCATATGTCCAATGAGAGAGACCTGCGTAGTATAACTTCAGGATTATTGAGTTGCGCTGCGGCCATGGCTGCCAAGTCGATAGCCTTGCCGGCGTCAGCGTAGATCGCTTTAATTCGGGAAAGTGAGTCGGCGACAGTGTTGTGCGCACCTGAGACATTTCGTATATCGGTCGTAAACTGAGCGGTATAATCTAGGTGGCGCGACTCTCTTTAATAGAGTATCGGTCGGTAGTCGAGCTAAACACATAAGACAGGGGTTTGTCGCCGGTAAAGACGGCAAAAGAGCGACCTTCTAAGACATGTCGGAACTGATATATAGATAAATAAATGGTTAATACTTCTCTACCGAAAGTGCAATAACGAGATTCGACAGATTGCAACATTTGGCGAAAAATAACAACTGCTGCCAAGCGTCACCTACATTTTATTGTAAGACCGCCCCAACTGCCATGTCAGAAGCGTTGGTACGAAGCGACACTATGGCTGCCGGGTCGTGATGCGCTGTAGAAGCTATGTTTGCCATAGGTTCTTTCAAAGCCCGGAAGGCGGCGCGTGCTGCAGCAGGAAAATCGAACTTCTTAATCTTCCCACGTCGAAAGTCTGTGAGGGGTTGCATAAGCGAAGCGCAACTAGGTATGAAACGGCGAAAAAGTTGACGATACCGTCAAAACGTCTTAGCTGTTTGGAAGAGTGAAGCTCGGCGTGGTCGATTATGGCCTTAATTTCATCCTGTATTGGCACGACGCCTGCAGAAAAGATTTGGTGGCCCAGAAAATTGAC